GGACAGCGAGAGATCTGATTGGCTCAGAGGGCTGATGCTTGTTCCCCTGTCATAGTAATAGCAATACATGCTTTTGGATGGGTTTAATAATCTGTAAAACACTTTCATAGCCCTTATGTCATTTGACTTTATTTTCACATCAGTCAAATTAATAGCAAAGAAACAGAAGCTTAAAGGTTGTCTGACTTATGCCAAGCACACACTCATGCCCTTTCTGAGACCTGTGCTAAGCTGCACCTCAACTCCAGGATGCTGCAGTAGATAAGACAGGGGTGCCAGTGTCTCTCACAGAACTCAGCTGAATCCAGTTCCCTGACACTCCCAAGAGTGACCACGACCTCTCTTTCCACTGTAGGCAACAAGGGGGTCATCAGTGGTTCGGAGAGAGAGTTTAAGATCTGCTTCATGCTCTGAGCTGCTGGGGGTAAAGAGTAGAGAAAGTTTGATGTAGGTCGTTGGAAGCGTCCATCTAGCTGGGGAGGAAATGACCTGGGCTGATCCACCAGGAGGCTCATGTGAGCAGATGCAGATTGAAATACCAGATCAGCCTCAGATGTCAGTTAGCCTCAATCTGACAGTAGCTCAGATTTCTCGACTCTAAAGTGGACAGTAGTGGTAGTAATTTTCCCTACAGGTTTGCATGTTAGGTGAGATGATCACTACCATCATCGTCACTGTCATTCAGGGCTGGAGTGGCCAGGACGACCTTGTCTCAGATGGGCAGGGAAACAGTATAAAATGGACAGATGGATAAGCAGGAGGAACAGAAGGAAGCAGTCGGCAGGAAGGAGAAGAGGTTGACACATTTTAGGGGAGGAGAATGAAATGCACAGCAAAAGTGAGGTTTGTATAATTGAGAGGCCGAGAAAAAGTGTGTGGTGGCCCCAGCACAAAGGGCAGGACTCTGTCCCTGTCCAGCCTGGCTCTGATTTGTAGGCCTTCCCTGGGCTTCCCTGTGCCTACCTGGCAAGTCCAGAAGCCATGGGACCTGCTGTCCTTCTCACTGGCCACCGCCAGGGACTGAGGTTAGGACTGCACTTTGATTGGAATGTAGAATTAGCCAGTGTTTAGGGTAGATCTGCTGAGTTAGCCTCAGCTGCATGGGTGCCCCTCCTTATTTTGTGTGTGTGTGCGTGTGTATGTGACCTCTGCTTTTACCCTAGCACCTCTTCACTTGGCTGTACCTTGAGAACTAAGAGAGGTCACAAGTTCTTTCTGTGACTCGGGACATGTGACAAACCAAGATTTTCACCAGTGCCCCAATGAATGGGTGTTCTGGGAGCAGCTTAGCCATCTGCTACCCATGCCAGGGGCTCAAGCAGAGCAGATGAATTCCATGCCAGATGCCCTGAGCCATGTAAACCCCCAGGAGAGATATCACACAGGCCAGGGGCAAGAGCTCTCAGTCATAACAGAGTTTCCTGTTCTGTCTCTATCTTGGGCCACCGAGAGAAAGGAAATGCTACGTGTGAAGCTTCTAGCTTGATACTTATGAACAAAGAGTCAGATTTTTCAAGTTGAGGACTTGACAGCCTGGAAGATAGAAATAGGTATCTTTTCTTTGCCTTGGGAAGATCCCTTGGCACTGATCTCACACACAGTGGACAGTGCCTTTTGGATATAGCTCTGGGGAAGTGCTTATCTATTGGCACTGAAGTGCTGCCTCTGCTGCTGGATAGAATCACTGGAGGAGTGGGGTGCCTATCACACTTCTCAAATGCTGCAGCACAGTGGAATTGCCTAGGGTGGGGGGTGTCTCAGTCCCTGTGCCCAGGTTAAATCCCAGACCAATTAAATCATGGATCTCTGGAGACAAAACCCAGGCAGCTAAGCTTCCAGAGATCCCAGATGTCTGCATTGCGCAGGCAAGTTTGGAAGTCATTGGTCCAGATGATGCAGCATCTCCTGGATGGGCGGAGGCCTAGTGAAGCACTGGCTGGCCCGTGGGCTCCTTGGTTAGCCCACTTGGGAAGGTGATTCATTCACTCCGAGAGTCGGATCTTTTCTGGCCAGTGTGGCGTGGGCAGCAGCCAGCTCAGGCAGGCGCTCACATTCCACGGGCGTGAGGTTTTGCAGCACCAGCCACATGTGGACACCCAGCACTCTGAGCTGGGGAGCCCGCACTTCCTACCCTGGGAGCCAGCCCTCAGATGGGGAGGTGGCCTGCAGCCTGTTGGGTCTGAAAGGCACACTGTGTGTGTGTGTGTGTGTGTGTGTGTGTGTGGTGTCACTTGCGTCACTTGCAGGTTTGTGGTGGGAAAGGGGAGACCAGATGAGTTTATCTGATGAAGAAAAGGGAACAGGAAGGAGAAATCTTAGGCCAAGCCTGCTCTGATACTCGCTCTGTTCCAAACCCGGCTGAGAGACTGACCTTTGAATGCTAAGACACAGCTGCCTCTTCTCACAGGGAACTGAGAGATGTTCCGGGGGCTTCTAGAGTCTTCTTTCTTTCACTTAATTTTTTTCGTTTTTTAGAGCTACATCCCCAGCTCTTTTTAAATTTTGAGACAGGGACTCATTATGTTACTACATTGCCAAAGATACCAACCTGCGTCAGCCTCCCAGATTACAGACATCCTGGCTTGCTTAACATGTTTTGTTGTTGTTGTTGTTTGTGATAAGTATGAGAAAGCTTTTAACTCCTGAGGAATAACAGCCTGTGTGCCTCAGAGACGGGCAGAATGGAGTGTGCCACAGTAACCAGACAGGAGGTCTCTTGGGCTGGAAGCCCCAAAGGGAAGGCAAAACTAGGGCCACAGACAAGCATATCTGGTCCATACAGATATCCCCAGCTGGTGGGGGCCAAGGGTGAGGAGCTCCAGGGTCTAAGATGAACAAGAGACTCTGTTTCAGGAATCCCTGCATGAATGGATCGATGGTGAATGGAGACAGCCTATGAGGCGCAGTCTAAGTATTATTCACCTGGGGCAAACAGGAGCCATTCCAGGGGCCACTTCTCCTTGGCTGGTCCTCAGCAGGACCAAAGTCCAGTTCCAGAGGCCTGAGTATGCCTTGCTCCTGGGGAAGTGCCTCCCCCCTCCTCTCCAGGCAGTACAGGGCCCCCTGGGCACTCTGCCGTCCGACCCATCAGGCACACAAGCTTGGATGCATGCATCACAGGTCAGATCAGGGCTTTTCCCAGCCCTGCAGCACAGTTCCAGTGGCCACATGGGAGCTGTGTACTGGCCCTTAGGGCAGCCATGCAGTCAATGCAGAAGAATGGGGCTGTAGGTCTAGATGGACTTGGTTCCAGTGCCTACTTGGCCTCTCACTAGGAGTGTGACACAGGTGCAATTCTTAACCTCTCTGAGCCTTGGGTTTGCATTTTGTTTTTGATACTGGAGATTGAGCCCAGGGCCTTTGCACTGAGCTCTTAACCCAGCCCTTTTTATTTTACTATTTGATTTTTATGTTGAGACAGGATCTTGCTAAGTTGCCCAGGATGGCCTCTCACTTATGACTTTTCTGCCTCAGCCTCCAGGGTAGCTGGGATTACAAGTGTGCACCACCACCTGGCAAGCCCTCAGTGCCACTGTCTAGCATAGTGCTGTGGCTACCAGGAGCCAGGAGAGAGAGCACACGGGAAGCAGATGGGTGGGGAAGGATGCTGTGGTGGAAAGAGGGTGTCGCCTACTTCCCTGCTCACAGCTGGGGAGCCAGAGCTGCTCCTCCTACAGCCCCAGAACCTGACATTTTATCTTTATCTACTCTGTGGGCTGGAAAATGAAGAAGTGACAGTGAACTGTGTGCCCTGAGGTCTCTCACAGGCCTGGCTGAGGGGAGGTCAGTGTCCACTGTGTGGTACTCAGCCAGACCCAGACAGCCATAAGCAGGGTTCCCCGCTCCGCCCCAGTCCACTGGGTTTCTAAGATAAGGCAAATGATGGTGAGTGGTGGGCAGCCAGCGCCTGTACCCCCCAGCTTTTGTCGGGAAGACAAAAACCAAGAAGTGGGGGAATGATCCTGAGCGAATTCAGAGAAATGACTGAGGATCAGAGTTGACTGGGCCCCAAAACCCCCAGGCCCTTCCCTGAACTCATTCGACCAGTGAGGGACACTGATGTCCATCTCAGCTGTCTTGTCTTTCCAGGGACAGATGAGGGAGGACCTCGAGGGATGTAACAGAAGAATAAATTGTACCATGGTGCACAGAATGGGCAACAGAGCTGTTTGTTAGCTCTGCACTGCTGTATGCAGGGCCTTAGGAAAGTCAATAAACACCCCTGGTCTCAGTAGTTGCCCCTGTAAAGTGGGGTAACAAGCCATCCTGCAGAGTTTGGATTTGTGAGAAGTAAATGAGGCTGTGTATGCCAAGTGCTTGGAGAGATGTGGGGTAAGAGCTGGCTGTCCCCATGTCCTGAGAAGGAGGTTTGTCTCCTCAATTATGACCAGGGCTGCAGTCTTCTCTTGCCAGGTCACTCATTCACTTGACAAAGATGCAAGGCACTATGTCCAGTGAGGTGGTCCTGGACTGGGACCCATGTGACCTTGTGTCAGGGCCCAGGATTGCCTCGTCATCCCCGTCAGCTTTCCTGGCACCTTGTGCCCAGTCCTGTCCCTCCAGCTTTATCACTGCCTTCCTGGGGAGACAGACCATGTCTGGCTTGGGTTGCTCTGCATCTACCATAGCGTCTATAAGCATCTTCTCTAGCACTCTTCTCAGTCATGTGGTGCTGCCTGTTCAGTTTGTGGTGCCACGTCACGGGGTGGAAGGGGTTTACATTTTTCACATTGCTTTTTCAACAATCACAAGGGATAGATATTGCTTCCATTTCACCGAGGAGGAGACTGAGGCTTCTTGAGATCTGAGTTGCTTCCCCAGATCTGAGTTGCTTCCCCAGGGGTGGCTGGCACCTTACTGTTCTCGCCCAGGGTTTGTGCAATGCATGTCACCATGGGGAGGCTGGTGCTCACTTCTTCCCAGCTGGAGAGGTGTGGCTAGTCCCCATGTCATCCTGAGACCCCCCTCCCCAACACTACCCTCTTCTCTGTCTGCTTCAGAATGTCTGCAAGCCCGCAGAGGAGACACAGCCGCCGCCCCTGCTGGAGATCAAACAGAAGATCGACAGCTACAACAGCAGGGAGAAGAACTGTCTGAGCATGAAGCTGGTGAGCGGGGCTCCCCTCTGCTCTGGCATCCACAGCTCCCTCAAACCTCCATCCTTTTCTGGGACTGAGGAAGCCTGGTAACCTGGGCTGTCTGTGGCCTCTGTGAGCTCTAGGGACCTAGCATGGGCTTTAGAACAGGATCCAGATCCCATTTCTGCTGCATCTGCTGTTTTTGCTTACATCTTGGGAAGCTTTTTGAATTTCTCTGCATCTCAATGTTAATCAAATTAATAATGCCCTTGTGGGGAGCAAATAACACAGTGACCAAGGACCTGGTATTGGTTGGCCGCCCAGGAAGCCCTTGACAGGGACAGTCTGCAACTCCTCTTCCTTCCCCTCCAACTATGCAGAACTGAGTCAGGGAAGTGACTGCTCTGGATTCAGAAGAGGCCTCAGAGAGAGGGATGAAGATAGAACCCTGCCCCCTGCTGGTGGCTGGAAGAACTGACTCTTTGGGGCTTACCTAGTTGGGCTGCTTTGGTCCTAAGGGCTGTGGATTCTTTGTAAAGAGTTGCAAGGAAACCCAGTGGCCTGAATATCTGAGGACCATCTTACAGAGTCCTACTCTGGTTCAGGGCCCTTGATTTAGAAGTGTGAGCCAGAGAGGCCACCACAGCCGCTGCCTCTTAGAGTGGGGACTCATCAAAGGGCAATGGGTAATTTTGCCTGTTGGTGCCTCAAGGTCTGAGCCTCCTGGGCAGGAAAACCACAGAAGCTCAAAGTCCTCTGTGGATGCTGTGGGCCTCCTGCTGGCACCTTTCCGCATCCCTGCATCCCTGCATGTACCTCCTGCATCCCTAAGTCCCTACATCCCTGCATCCCTGTATCCCTGCATGTACCTCCTGCATCCCTGCATATGCCTCCCTAGGTTGGCAGAGACAGGCCAGGAAGGATCTCAGGGAGACAGATGGCTCTATTAGCATGGGCCTCTGACACAGTCGCACAGTGGACCTCCCTGAGCCTGATGACTTCCTCCCCCTGGCAGAGCGAAGATGGTACCTACACAGGTTTCATCAAAGTACATTTGAAGCTTCGGAGGCCAGTGACAGTGCCTGCTGGGATCCGGCCCCAGTCCATCTATGATGCCATCAAAGAGGTGAACCTGGCGGCCACCACGGACAAACGGACATCCTTCTACCTGCCACTCGATGCCATCAAGCAGCTTCACATCAGCAGCACCACCACAGTCAGTGAGGTCATCCAGGGGCTGCTCAAGAAGTTCATGGTTGTGGACAATCCCCAGAAGTTTGCACTCTTTAAGCAGATACGCAAGGATGGACAAGGTATGAGAAAGCTCTTGTGACTGGAGACCACCTCTCCCCACTGTGTCTGTGCCCAGTGCTTAATCCCCGGCCATCCGAGGGGAGAAGAGAGCATCCAGGCGCCTGGATTCAGCCAGCCACGGGGTGCTCGGGGCTGTGGAAGAGCCACTTGCAGACCTCAGCTGGGCTCGGCAGTACATGCCTGCTCACTCTGTTCTTCCACACCCTGGGCTCCTGTTTGCTAATCTGTGTAACAGGAGGGAAACTGCCCAGCCCTCCTAATCTTCTGGGAGATGATGAATGGAAACAAGTTTAAACTCTGAGCAGACACCCAAGATAAAAGAGTTACTTTCCTTTCTTTTTTAAATGGTGCTGGGGATGGCACCCCCAGCCTCATCATGGTAGGCAAGCACTCTGCCGCTGAGCCACACACGGGCCAGTCCTGCCTCTTCTTATCAGGTGCATCTCAAGTCTGCTTCCAGATATAAGGCCCCACCTCTGGGTTTCTAATCTGGGCCACCTAGCTCGGGCCACCCTTCTCTGCCAGTGTGAGCAGCTAGCCCCCTCTCGGTTCGCAGTGCTCTTCCAGAAGCTGTCTGTTGCCGACTGTCCCCTCTACTTACGCCTGCTTGCGGGGCCTGACACGGATGTCCTCAGCTTCGTGCTCAAGGAGAATGAAACTGGAGAGGTGGAGGTGAGTCTGGACCTTCTGCACAAGCCCAGCCCTCAGGACCTGCTGGGTGGGAAAAGGAGGGCACCGTCCTAAGTGCCTGGCAGAGGTAGGGCTGCACAGTAGCAAGAAAGTGACTGCCCCAAGAGCTGGGCCAGGAAGGTTCAGGGTTTGAGCCAGGACTGTCGGCCGCCAGCACTACAGGTCAGGGCCTGTGTCTGGCAAGGCCTATGGAAAGAAAGGATTTCTTTGTTTCTGGTAACTCCGGGGAGAGAGCCGAGAAACTCCCTGGGTTCGAGCCCAGGCGTTTTGCCCCAGGATGACTGAGGCTCAGCAAGCTCCACCTCTGTGTCCCTCTGGGAGTAGATATTTTTGATCCCTTGTGTCTGTCCTGTTCTTAACATACTGACTTCCTTCTGGGGCAAGGGTTTGTGGAAAGTGTCCAGCATAAATGAGGTGAAGCCAGGCTGGTGCTCCCCACAGCCTGGGATGGTCAGGAGGTAGGGTCACCAGGGAGCAGTAAGAACAGAGGAGGGCCTCAGTGTTTGTCACACTGTCAGTGGAAGCCTGGGGTGAGAAGCTGTCTTGGCGGTCCCTGGGCATGTGCAGGATCTGGGCAGGTGAGCTCCATCCCTGCTTCAACCAGGACATATCCACCTGCTTTCCCTGTTTGACTAGATGGAAGAGTTTGTTGGGGGACTGCTGGTCTGGGGGACAGTCCCCCAGCCTGGAGCCCCAGAAGTCAGGCTGCTGCCCACAAGCTGCCGCTGCCAGCTCCCTGAGGCTACACTGCCTTTCCTCTGTGGACTCCAGGTCCCTCTTATCCAGTGTGGGGACTGAGCCCAATGAGTCCCCTCTGTGTGCAAAGAGCCTGAGAATCCCCACTTGGCCCACGCAGGCCCTTCCTCCAGGGTCAGCGGGAAAAGTCAGACTTGCCTTCTGCCCTGAGGGCCCCAGTCCCTCTGCTCAGGCCTGGCTTCTCCAGGGGGTGCTGTCTCATCTGCTCTGCCTACACTGCAGATGGCATCCTATTCTCAGGTGGAGGAGACAAGCCAAGGTGATGGAGTGGGGTGCATCAGGTCCTGCAGCTGGAGAGGCTCCAGTCCTGCTGTCCTCCACCAGCCTCCGGAGGGCCTGCCAAGGTCTCCACCTTTAATTCTCAAAATAAAAATATGGCTCATGGGCTGGAAACTCTTGGCCAAGGGGTGCCAGGACCTGCACTTTTATTGCTGGTGTGACAGATGTGTATGACCCAAGTGTCTGCCACTGTAGCTGCCACAGCGCAGCAAAGTGTGCAGAGCTCCTGATGCAGACCATGTGAAGGAGGTGGTCACAGGCCTCGGGTTGGTCCCTTCTAACCTGCTCCCTCCCTGTCTCCCTCCATCTCTCCTGCAGTGGGATGCCTTCTCCATCCCTGAGCTCCAGAACTTCCTAACGATTCTGGAAAAAGAAGAGCAGGATAAGATCCAGCAAGTGCAGAGGAAGTACAGCAAGTTCAGACAGAAACTGGAAGAGGCCTTGAGAGAATCCCAGGGCAAACCTGGGTAACTGGCCTTGCTTCCTTTCTTCCCAGCACCCCTGGATTTATTTTTTTTTTATTATTATTATTATTATTTTGGAACAGACACTTTTTCTCAGGACATCTCTGGCAGGTGCATCGGTGCCTGCCCACAAACCCCAGATGTGGCACGAGACTCTTCCAGGGACAAGGGTCTGCGCAGGGGTCAATTCCTTCCCTCCCCTCATCCTGTGCCCCTCAATGGACTCTGTCAACGATGGATCAGAACTCGTGTGGAGCCAACAGTGTTGCCCTTGCTCAATCTGCAAGCCTTTTAAAAGCCAAACAGCTGCCTGTCTGGTCACCAAACTGGACCCAGTGACACCAGTCGGCAGAAGGAAAGAAAAAATGTCATGGGAGCTCTGTGTTCTTTCTCTGGCTTTGATCCTTTTTACATTCTCTTTAATTTGCCCCTTGCAGTACCTTTATTTATTTACTGTGCAGCAGGTCCGAGCTCAGGCCCTGAAGGCAGGATAATGCTCAGGAGAGGATTGTCCCACCATCCCAAGGCACCTGCTGAGCTAACCAGAAATAACCAGTGACTGAGCCCGGAAGCTCAGGGCACCAGAGCTCACGGCGGCTCAGAGGTGTCCAGAGAAGCTGCAGACTTCTCTGGCCCTGATCACTGAGACAGAGCACACGCGAACCCAGAGGTGTATGTCTGCGTGCTTGTCAATAGCTAGTTAGTTTTGTTGCTTGTTTGTGGCTTTTTGTAGTGCTGGGGATTGAACCCAGGGTCTTCGCACTGTATCACTAGCCCTTTTTTGTTGTTTTCTTTTGAGACAGTGTCTCACTAACTAAGCTCCCCAGCCTGGGCTAGAAATGAGGTCCTCCTGCCTCAGCCTCCCAGAGTGCTAGAACAGCTCTTTGAAGTTACAAATCTAAGACTGATATTGTCATCATCCCCGTGTGTTTTTGCCAAAAGGGAATCAGTCATTGGCCATTTTAAAAGTTTGCTGAGTCAGAAAATCAGACAGTAAGAGAAAGCAAAAAGTACTGCAGAGAAACAGCCAAGCTGTCTTCAGCCATCCCTTAGCTGAGAGCAGAGGGGGGCTGGGCTGCCTTAGTTTCCTCCTTGGCCCTCAGCACTGCTTCCCTCTGCCCGCTGGGACTATGGGATCTCCAGGTGCTGCCAAGGAGAGGCCTTGATTACAGAAGGAGTCCTATAGCTCGGCCAAATCAGAGTCCTTTCTGTTGTGAAGCCCGGCTGCCCCAGGCCTGCACTCAGGGAACCTGCAGGCTGGCCTCCCCATTGACCTCAGTGCCTTTTGTTTTCAGAGAGAAATAGCAGGGTGTGTTTGCTGGGAGCTCTGCTGCCGCTAGCCCCTGCCGGGAAGTAGGAGACAAGGCAGGGACCTCTGCTCCATGGTGGAGGGGCAAGGGTGGCACACTGTTCCCATCTGGGTTCCTGGACTTGACTCAAAGAGGTGATGTCACACCACACTGGCAGGGAGGACCAGCTTCCTGACTGAGCATTGGTACTGGCTCCCGTTTATGTTCAAACTTAAATTAGCCAGACACTTCCAGGAAGTCACCAGACACTCCAGTGCAGAGGGAAAAGGAACGTCATTCCAGTCTGGCCTCCCAAGCCCCCCAGGAGTTGGCTGGAGCCCACGCTCCTCCCTGTAGCCTTAGCTGTGCCACTGCAAGTCCCTGAGTGCATGGTGCCTGACCCCGGAGGACTGCTGACCCCTTATCATGCAAACTATGTTTCATCTTCAGAGCTACGGGAAGCCAACTGAGCTAGCCACTCTGATTTTTAAGCCACCCAAACCCTGGTATCTGCCATCGCATGCTCAGACTTGTCCCTTGCCTCCTTATAGTCTCTCTCCCGGCCATACAGTAAAGGGACTGGGAGGGAGGGGACAGTCCCCCCCAGCCCTGCACGTCTCTAAGGTGAAGAGAAGGCACGGCTCCTGCTGTACCACCTCGAATGCTGCTCAGAGCCTCCCTCGATGGGATGGCTAGTTTATTTTTGAGAGGAAAGCAAATCATGTACATATATACATAAAGGCAGATAGCTATATATGAGATAATGGTTCTTATGAGAAAATTATGAGGAAACTCAGACTTTGAGGCGCAGTTACCCCAGGGCCTGTGCTGAGGCCTGTGCCTCTGGAGTGTGTCGAGCTCCCTTCCCTCCTGGAGGCGGCCGTAACTGCTGGTAGTGCCTTTTATGGTTGCGTTGGTTTTAAGGCTGTTTTTCTTTACAAATGTCTTTCTTATTTGGGTTTTAAAAAAAGAAATAAAAGCTTGTAAAAATGATTCGCAATTGAAGCGTCTTCCCTGAACTCTGCCATCTTATGAACACTGGAGCTGGGATGGTGGGGGAGAACCGAGGTGGTCACACACTCCTTCAGAGCCAGCGAGCAGAGGGATGGAGGACACTGGGCAAAGGCTTGAGAGGACATTGTCCACATGTGTGGGCCACAGGGTGCTGCCTTGGTGACCCCAGAGTGGGAGGCTGGAGGGGACTTCGACAGAGGCAGGGCTGCGCTGGAGAGGAGAGGCTTTGTGGAGCAGAGGATGGCTGAACACCAGGATAGCCTCCTGAGGTAAGCAATGGTGCTATCTCTGGAATTATTTAAAAATAATATAGGAAGAATGTGTCCTTGGAAACATAGGCCACGACACCTGGAGGAGGGCTGAATTAGATGACCAAAGGAGTTCATCAAAGGAACAGGTCCATAAACACTGAAAGAAACAGCCATGTAAGTTACTGAGTCACCCGTCTCACTGTCCGCGGGTGATGACCATGCGCCACGCTCTCCGGAGCTCACTCAGTCCAGCCTCCCTCCCTCACATTCACCAGGTGGCCTTAATAGCCAATTACCATGCCCATCTGCCACCGGCAGCAGCCTAGACTTCCAAGAGGATGCTGTCTTCACTGACTTGGCCAAAGCATGGAAATGAAGCAGTCTCTGCTTTACACAGAAACTCATTTGGTCATAGCAACAGTACACAACATTGTGAGTTTGACCCTGATAAATATGATTTGGCTTAGCATGTAGAAAAATGAACCCATTACATAGTCTAGCTGCATACAACCCTCTTTCTCATCCCCATGCTACTCGCAAGGGCAAAAAGGGCAGTGACCCAGTCCATAGGTGTCACCATTATTGGAAAACCTACTGACACAGGTCTCAACAGCGCTTGGTCACAGCAGAGTTCTGGGTTGAACCAGTTAACAGGAGCTGCTCCTTTCCTCTTATGGGACCTGCTCCCACTTTCCTGGCCTTGTTTCTCTAGCAGGGATTAACAAGACAAGGCACAATCTCTTCGAGCCTCCAAGCCACTCAGGACAGTGTAAAACTGGCTGTGGGTGTGAAGGAACTTTGTGCGGTACACAAGTTATCTATACTTATGTTAAAGACTGTCTTATCTTCCTTATTGTACGTACACGACTTGTCTCCACGAGACTCCGGCCATCCAAAGGCTCTGTGGCGATAGGATCCTGTTTGGGGTCAATTTCTGGAAATTATTTCCTGGTTCTGTTGCACTCATGCTGGTGACGGTGACAGTTACTCAGCAGTCACAAGGCCTATTCTGGGTCTGAGGGCAAAAGGCAGGAGGCATCACACACCTATCTCAGTGCTTATTCCCTTCTTTCTGTACAGGCTTCCGACGAATAATTTGAGGATATTCTCAAGCCTTTACCTCAGTTTTGAAAAGAGACAGGAGAAAGGAAGAAAGGGAGCATGATGAAGGTAACTGTGTCTTGATGGAAAATTCCCAGAACCTGTAAGAGATGTGGCTCAGCTTTTCCTCCTGCTGGACGAGGATGGCCCTGTCACAGAAGTGACGCGCATGCACTGGGAAGGGATGAAAGCAATGCTTCTGGACACCTGGCGTCAGAAGCACAGTTCCTCTCTTAGGAAACTGACTGTGGACTCCTTGTGCAGCATTTCAGGGAGCTGGTGCTTAGGCCTCCGAAGAAGACCAGCGGAAACTCCTCTGTGAACCCCAGGTTAAAAGTCAGGACTAAAGAGACATCTGCCAACCAAGACCTCACTGTGGCCAGGTCACCCCAACAATGCCAATGGTGCTGCACTAAGTCAGGGAGCAGGCTCGCCGCATGGACCCCCGCACTATCGTGCTTCTGCTGTGTCCATCTAGCCTACACTCACTCTGCTGCGATTTAGTCAGTTCCTCTTTTGCCCTGACTGACGGTACAGAACAGTGGCGCCTGTCTTCTTTATGACTGCTGTGAAGGGACTACTGAGGGCTAGCAGGTTGACTAGGTAGTAGAAAAGGATGAACAAGAGGCCACATAATACCTGGTGGAGAGGCTTTCAAAACAGGACAGCCCCACCTGCCAGAATGGCGGCAGGGTTGCCCTGCAAGGGAAGCGCAGGAACTGAACCGCTGAGACCTCACAGGTGGAGAAGTGCTGGACGTGGCCTCCTGTTTCAGCTGAGAACACAGCTGCCTTTAAAAGTTAGTACACTATTTTTGCTAAGTGGTGGAAAGAAGAGGGGGGTCAGATTTAGATTACCATAAAACTTTTTGATAAAGAATTGTATTTTTAATTTGCAAAAGCTGAAAATGCTCATAAATGACCAGCCCAGAGCCTGGATTTCCACTGGGTCCACCACCACCTGAAACAAGTCAGTCACTTCTTGCCAGGCTTGGGTGCCTTTTCCAGGCCTTGAATGTGCCTTCGAGGAAGCCCGTACTCCTCTGCAATTCAAAGACAGACACAGGTGGTGAGCACAGCAGCTCTCGCCTGCCCCCGCCCCGGACCCTCCCACCTCTCTGCATCACTCCTCGGCCCAATCAGGGGCCGGCTAACCTCCAGACCCTCTCTGCCCAGGGCATCATCCCTGCCATCGAGGCACTGTTCCAAAGACCCCAATTTGGACTGCTAAGGCTTAGAACCTTTGAAATTCCTGTTAGGATGGAACACTTCCTCAGGCCAGCTAGCGGCCTCCTCAGACTGGAATAGAGCATTTAGAATTTCTCAAGAGGAGGTGTGTGTGTCTGTGATGAATTCTGTGCTCCTCTATTCTGTGCTTCTCAGCGTCTCACATGGGGTCCTTCGCATGAAGGGCTCAGGTGCCAGGTGGTGCCATAAGCCATAACTCTATTGAGCATTTACTATGTGCTGGGCCCCAAAGACAGGAAAAGCATGAAAAAGGACAAGGCTTCTACATGAGGGGCTCCTTCTGGTGGGGGGCTCCCTCATCAGAAGACATTTAGCCAAGCTGCAGGCACCAAGTAGAAATATAAACACAACTGAAATTGCTACATTGGCGTCTTTTAAATGCTTGTTGAGGGAAATGGGACATGAGCTAGGCCAATGAGCTGGTGACAGGCAGACTCAGTTGTAGGAAGGCACAGAGTCCTGCTTGGAAGGAAGTAGGCAAGAACGGACCTGGTCCTTCAGGAAAGGCAGGGGAGTGAGTGTAGGGAGCTGAGGAGTGACATGATCGTATTTATTGAAGGAAGCTAACAAATGAGGCTGGGTCACTACAGTGAGCAAAAGGAAGGGAGGCTCTGCAAGTCAAAAAAGTTTCAAACGTAAGCACAGCACTCAAGAGGCAGGTGAGCCAGTCATGGTCGGGCATGCCTGTAATGTCAGCACTCTGGGAGGCCGAGGCAAGAAGACTGCAAGTTCACAGCCAGCTTGGGCAACTTAGTAACTTAGCAAGACTCTGTCTCAAAACAAAAAATAAAACAAGGGGCAGGAATAGGGCTTAATGCAGAGATCCTGAGTTCAAGCCCCAATACTGTCCCCCAAGCCCCCTAAAAACCAAAAACCAAAACCCAGTGAGCTCAGGGAAAGTACTGAACCAATCTGGATTAGTTTCTCATCTGCAAAACAGTAATAGTTTTGCAGCTTCATCTTGACTATGGAGATGCCTACCAAAGGCTCAGCCAAATACCATTTGTGTGCTTGACAAATGCCTTACAAAGCGAGGACCAAGGAGAAAACTAACAGGGTGTGTGCTGGAAACAGCAGTGGGTGCAGAAGTGGCCACAGGATCTGGTTTAATCACTGGCTCCACCTCTTGTTAGCTGCTAAAATCTTCAAGGATGTGTGTGTGTGTGTATGTGTGAGTGTGTGCACATGCCCTCATGCAGATGCTTCTTGATTTATAATGGGTTGTCCGGAGAAGCCCTGTAAGCTGAAAACTTTACAAGCTGGAAATGCAGGTGGGTCACCTGCCTACTGCATATCACTATGCAGTTCAGTTGTTTCCCCCTGGGATCCTGCAGCTGCCTAGGAGCTGAGCCTGCCCAACATCAGCATATCACTAGCCTGGGAAAAGGCCAACATCCAACACTCAGAGTACAGGCTCTGCTGACTGGGCAGTACTTTCACACTGCTGTGAAGTACTCTAAGTCAGGGATGTCTGTGGTTGTGCACACGCGTGTGCCATGACCACCCGATCAAGGTCAGGCAGCAGGAAATCTGCAATGTTGGCCCAACACCTCTGCTCTTCAGAGGGGCGCTCACCCAGTAGCAGCTGGCCCAGGTGGTGGATCTGGTTCCCCTGGATCTGCACCTGCAGGCTGTCCTTGCTTCCAGGGACAGGAGTGACTGTAGTGCTGGCCTGACATCGCTGCTGGAGGATGTTGGCCACTGAGCATGGGTCTAGACCGTAGGCTTCCAAGTTTCTGACCATGGTCACCTGGAGGGACAATGATGGATGGACAGTGGGTACCACCTTCTCTTGCAGGGCGTCCTCCTGAGCACCCCCAGCCTCCTCTCCTCCCTGCTTCCTGATGGTTCATCACCTTTCTGTCCAAATAGCTTATTTTATGCTTCTAAAATGATTCTCTCAGGGGCCAGAAGTTTAGCTCAGTGGAGGAAGTGTCTGCTTGGCAAATGCAAGGTTGTGAGTTTGATCCCCAGCACCAAAACAAATAAATAAAATAAAATGATTCTCTTTACCCCATCTAATATGTGTTACGTATTCAGTGGGACACATACTCTGTATCACACAAATCACAATTTGTTAACTTTATTTTTTTAATCATGGAGAATATAAAATGTACACAAAAGCAGAATCGTAGAATGAACCTCCAGGGACCCACAGTTCACGTCAACAGTTACCAGTTCATGGCCAACCTTGATTCTCCTGCACCACAACGAGGCAACAGCGGCCTCTGAACCCAAAGCTGATTACAAAGCTCATGCTCATAACCACACAATACAAGTTCTCTTTCTGGAGCCAGAGCCTGTCTTCTTGGGATCTCTACCAGTGACCCTAGGTCTGTATTCTTGGGCACACAGAATGAGAGCGCGCCTCTGGAAGAAGACAGCTCTCCACATATTTGAGGTCGGATGTAATTAGTTCCCTACAACTTTGTGTTGCCAAGCTAAACACATGCGGTTCCTTCAGCAACTTTTTACAACTTATTCTCAATGAGCAAGGCCCAAGAGGTAACAGAATGTATAAGAGCCGAAGCTTAGAATGTTTCACTGAGAAAAAATAAAACCTTTGCTTTTATAAACAGGCGTTAGCAGTTTTCCAGGTGTTACCCTCTAGGCTGAGGAAGAGGATGTCAGCCCCACCTGTCTGACACAGGGCCCAGCCAGGCACACGAACGTGTTTTTTTTTTTTTTTTTTTTTGTCTTTTTCCTTTTTATCGGTACCGGGGATCAAACTGCTTACAAGCAGGCGCTTATGCCACTGAGCTTAATTCCCAGTCCCACGAGCGTGTTTTGTAACAACTCTGCAGTGCTGGAAGCCAGTCTAAAAGCCTCCAATCTTATTAGGGAGACCAGACTGGGCGATTTAGCTCAGTGGCATAGCACCTGCCTGGCAAGTATGAGGTCGTGAGTTCAATCCCCAATACCATTAAAAAATAAAAGAAACTAATTAACCATATTAGGGATACCAGAACTTAGCACTTTTCTATGATTACCTTTTTATTAGAAGCCCTCTGTGCTAAGCTGATGTCAATTGGACAAATTTTCCCTTTCTTCACAACAGGCTGTTGTCCAGCAAAGGTCACTTGATAGGCAGGCTGCAGTTTTTCAAGACATCTGAAGTGAGAGTTGTGATTATAAGCAAAGGCAACGGAAGCCACCTGCTTGTACCCCTGCCAGGAGGCACAGCTGACACTGTGGCCAATGTCGGAAAGCTGGCCGAGCCTAAGACTTCTCCCGATCCCCACTGCCTCCAGTGTCTCTGCTAGAGATGTCTAAAAAGCTCCCAAGTACAGCTAAGGCTGAGGTCCGCTGCCTCAGGGACTCGGCCTGTGCGAACCGTCCACTGGCCTGGCATCCTGAGACTCTACCAAGCTGCTTTGTGAGAATCTGACCCATCTAAAGAACACACTTTTCTGGCTTTTTGCCTTTCCGGCTTCTTGCCTTCATATCATTGGTGTGTTTCAGTAATATATCTTTCGCAGAACACTTTCCCTGCAAGGAATTCCGACCTTGTATCTGACCAGGTTTTCTCCATGTGTTCTGTGTATGAGGATGGAAGAACTTTTTCTATGAGGAGTCAGATGCTAAATATTTTAGGTCTGACAGGCCACCCAAGTTGTAAGCCACTCAATCCTGTCATTCTGGACAAAGCATTCACAGACAGCACAGAAATGGGTGTGCATGGGTTCCAATAAAACTGTTTTTTTGGTTTTTTTTGTTTTTTACCCAAACAGGTGGCAGGCCAGATTGGACCCATGATCTATAGTTTGCTGACCCTGGGTATAAATTATGTTTAGTTCTAGTTCTGTGAAAAAGCAACATTAAGAATGTTTCCTTTGAAGATATTAAGACAATTCCCCCTAACCCTTTTTGCTGTTCTTGTTGAAGTTATTTATTAATATTTCTTTTTTTTTTCTCCCTCTCAAGTCCTCCTATGTCATTTTGGCTCAAATTGTTCTAAAGAACTTTACATCAGAAGCCCTGAAGCCCATGTATTTATAAACTGACACGGTATAAATTACGGGAAGAAAGTCATAGACCTCAAGACTGACGATTTTGAAGATTAACATATAGGCATTAAGGGAAGGGGCCAAACACTGGAGAAAGATTGCCGATTCCTGTTACCTGCTCAGGAGACTGTCCCATGGGAGCTTGCTGACTGTCTGCTGCTCATTCTTCTCTAGGATACAGTCACACAGGATAGGATCCAACTTCACTAGACTAAAGGGAAAGAAAAGCAAGAGAAATCTGTCTGGACCCTCTGCCACGAGGTGACTCATCTCTTACATCTCCTTTGTAGTCATTTAGGATGGGACTCCGTTAAGAGGCTGGAGTCTGCCAGGCATGTACTCACGATGGGAGGTGTAAGCACACTTCCCTGGGCAGAGAAGCATGAGTAGAGGCTATGTGGGAAAGGACGAATCTGAAGACCTGCATTTGCAGCTTAGCTCTGCTACAAACCAAGCAACACAACTTTCTAGGCTTATTTTCCTACTCAGCTAGCAAGAAAGAAGGGGGGATATAAATGGGAACTGTACCAACTTGGTCATCATACAGGACATGTACACTGAATCATCACACAGCATCCCATAAAACTGTAGAGTTAAAACAATAATTTAAGGCCAGGTTACAGCTCAGTGGCAAAGCACTTGTCTAGCATGTTTGAAGCCCCACTGAGTTCCATCCTCAGCACTACAAAAGAAATAAATTTAAATGCTAAAACAAATGAGGATGAGGGGGCACAAACCTGTGATCCCAGCACTAGGGAGGCTGAGGCAGGAGGATTTCCATGAGTTTGAGGCCAGCCTGGGCTATATCATCAAGTTCAAGGCCAGCCTGCATTACATAGCAAGACCCTGTCTCAAAACAAACAACAAAAATCAAAAAAATAAATGAGGGGATTAAATACGGCTGGTGAGGCTCAACTTTTGGATCATGAGTATGTCTTTTTTTGCTGTTTTTTTGTGACAGGGTTTTGCTATATTCAGGCTGGCCTTGAACTTATAACTCCAGAGTGCTGGGATTAAAGGAATGGCCACCATCCCCCATGAGGTTATCTTTTAGAATATACATATATCAATGAGCCTCTTTGACAGCACAGCATCTACGTCCCTTATTAGGAAAATCATACCAAAACTACAGCTGGACTTGATGCTTTGTGCTGGCTCTCTGTAAGGCACTGTGAGCTCAGGCCACAGGCAGTGTTGACAGCACGGTGGGATCTCAACACTGTGGCCACTAACTCTGATGTCTGCAGTCCTGTTTGTAAGCACTGGCCTTGTGTGTTCTTAAGATGCTGAGATTTTCCGTTCTCCGTCCTCAGATCTCCTCCCCAAGTGCATCTGTGTCTGCTAAGGATAAAAACAACACAGACCTCATTTTCAGCCACTCACTTCTTGTTGTTTGCATCCACCAGGTCATTTTTCTTGGCGTAGTTGATGACACTCCCTCGAACCTCACTGGCCTCAAGAATGCTCCCCTTCCTACAAGACAAAAGGTGCTGAGGTTGTTCCAGCCACGCCAAGGGCCACACCCAGGCCATACTCAGATTCTTTCCTGCTCAGCAGCCCTCTCTCCTTGGCTTGACTCCTGTTTTCTTCCACTTTGCTGACTGGAGTGGGCAGGATTGGGAACGAGGCATGACGCTGATTTGGGAAGACGGGAGATGAGGCAGAGCAGAGTTTGCCACTCAGGCTGAGAGAAGACATGTAGCCAGAATGCCCACCACATAGGCAGAGGAGGGCTACTCTCCAACACTCACTTGTGGCCAGACTCCTGGAAGAGTAGGGTCATGCTGGCGGGGACACAGTACAGGGCTTTTATATCTGGAGGGTGATAGGGCTGCTCCCTGCTGGCCGCCTGCACAGTCTGAGAGGTTGGGGAGGTCTCTGGGACAACAAAGGATGTGATCCTAAAACCCAGCAGAAGAAAAGAAAAACACATTCTATACCAGTGTCCCCACAGTCCCCACTCACAAGCCTGGTGCCTGGGGCCCCTCTGAGCTCTAGAGACCCAACCCCTCACTCACCTTGGATGCTTCCAGTCCACAGCCACAATGCTCTCTACCCCTCTGTTCAGCTCCTTTACCTGCACAATCTCCTCCTGTTGCATGTGCTGCAGGAACTTAGAGAGCTGGGGAGAGGGATGCGCAGGGGCTCACTGACTCATATACACCCTGGGCCCAGGGAGGCGCCCGTCCCTGGTCCCTGGTCCCTGGTCCCTGGTCCCTGGTCCCTCCAGCTGGGATTGGAAGACCTCTGTTCTACAGGTTGGGCAATGAGGAGCTGCCAGAGATGAACTGGTGATGCCTGCCTGAACTCTAGTCAGACATGAAGGGCCACATGGGAACGTGAATTGGGGGCCCCCACCTGCCTCAGCCCAGGGAGTTTCTTCTTTCCCCTCCTATGTAGGATCAAAACACCTGACTCTGGGCTGAGCTTGCGGAGGGCTGCCCCAGCATCTATCCAGCTCTCTCAGTGTGGATGCAGAGATGACAACTGCTTACCTTTTTATAGCTCGACTTCTTTATGTCCAGCTGTCGTCCTTCAGGGCTGATGGCAGACAGAAAAGGCAAGTTAAGCTAATAAAGCAAGGGGTGGGACCTGCCTGATCTGAAGAGGGGGAAGCTGGCCTCAGCCTTCCTCCCCCGTGTCCATTCCAGGTCTCTCTTCCTGGGGGATGCAGACTACAGGCCACTCTGAGCCAGCGGTATCCAACAGAAGACTCTGTGAAGCCGCCTAGGATGGCTTGAAATCTGTCTGTCACGCTCAAGAACCTGTATTTTAAGTTTTATTTACTTTTAATTAATTTAAACTTCATTGGTCATTTGTGGCTATCAGTTACTACATTAAATACTTATTTGTTTATTTATTTATGGTACAAGATAATCAGACTCAGGACCTCGTGCATGCCACTGTTAAATCCCTGGCCCTAGACACTGTTTAAAATTTATGTTAAATCAGAAAACTTTCTTCAGGGCTGGCTTTAGCCCAACACTCCTTCGAGTCTGGTTTCCCAACCGCCTGGACTGGGCTAATTAGTCCGGTGGTTCGAGACCCACGGGTGCTCTCCAGTTCTTTTTTAAAAAAAAAAAAAAGAAAAAGAAAACTTTCTTCAGCCTTAAAAATTCCACTGTCCAGCTGGGGATTTAGCTCAGTGGCTCAAGTGCTTGCCTGGTAAATGTGAGGTCATGAGTTCAATCCTTAGTACAAAAAAAAAAAAAATCCACTGTCCAACAGCAAGTTCACACTGGAAAGTCCCTCTAGAGCAGGGGCTGGCCAAATGTACCCTGTTGTCCAACTGAGCTAAACCCTTTATTTATCTATCATCTATGGTTACACTGCAACACCTAAAATACATAATCTTTGGTCCCTTACCGAAAAAGTTAGCTGACCTCTGCCCTATAGTAATTAGGTTTTGAGTAGAGGTTCTTGATAAAAGTTGTCATCTTCCCTCCCTCCCAGAATTTGTACCTCAGAAAACACAGACTCAGTGGCAGCAGGGTCTGAGAGGCCTTTTGAACCCACACCAGTTCACATCTGTCTCAGTGAATACCCCAGTACCCCTTCCCCAGGCACCTGCAAGCCTGAAGGTCAGGACAAAGGGTGGGTACCACCTCACCCTCCACTGTCTCACTTACAAGGGTGCCTTAATGAAGCCCACAGGCAAACTGAAAACTATTTCTAGAGATACAAACTGAGAGTCTCAGAAAGTGAGATGTTCAAGCCAAGGGTAAAAAACAGTAGCAAGCCTCCTGACACACCAGCATGAGAAGAGCGTGATTACACACCCGGCTGTGCGCTCTTTACAGCACCCCTCCAAGTACTGGAAACCCACAAACTAGCTGCAGTCTGCCTTGGTTGTGCTCCCACAGCTCTGTCCTTCAAGAAGCAGTTCTATCCAGGAAACCCTGGCTTTTCATGTTCTGAGTGGGCCAGGGGCCTCACAGCTCCTCTTCCTCCTGGTACAATCCCATCTGTCCCTTTGCACTTCAGAAGTGTGAGGGGTAAAGCATCCCAAGAAGCCTCCTGACAGAGAGGCTGCCAGAGACTGCCTGTGCAGGATGCTGCCTGATTTAGGAGCAACAACCCGGAACCATCTCTGCGGAGATGGCATTTGGAGAACCTTGAAAATCGCAATGTTGCCTTCCCCTACAACCTGTCACTGGCTCAAATAGATGTTATTAAAACCCAGAACTGAATTTCTTGCCAGGGTGCCCCCCCCATTCTTCCCACAGCATGGCCCTCAATCAGCCCCTACTATCCTGTCTAGTTCCAGCAAACCACAAGTGAGACCCGACCCCGGCTGCCAGCCCACAAAGCGCCTTCCATACCAGCAAGAGAACATGTGGCTGCCAAGGAATGTGCTTGTGAGAAGAGGGAGGTCGGCCTTCTTGACTCGGCACTTCAAGGCCTGCAGGAAACACTGCTGTAACAGGTCATCCATTTGCTCTGCAAGGCATAGACAGGAAGCACACCCTCCTGAGGGCCACAGAGTGCCTCCCTGACCCAGAGAAGGAGATCAAACTACACAGTTCCACCAAGCCAGGAGCATTCACCCAGAGAAGTTAGAAGACACCTTGGGGTGCTGTAGCTGGAAACAGCTCAGATCAGGGAAGACTGGTACCCAGGGATACAGAACTTATGAAGGTATCACAGGCAGGAAGCTACAGGGCTGCTGCTCAACCTCTCCAGAAATGAGGGCTTGCCTGGCCCCTCCCAGATCTTCAGTGCCCTGCTTCACTTCAGAGGTGCAGCGAAGTGCAGGCCTCCTGAGCTGAGAGTAGGGGATGGGCCTCCTGCTTCAGAGCCATACCTTGAAGCGATCTGCCATCCATGGGGTCTGGGCTCGGGTCCTGGATGCTGCCATCTTCTGAGGCTTCTGGGAGGGACCCCTCCCTGTGCCCTTCCTCTCCCTGCAGGGCCAGGCCTCTCATGTCTCCCTGCACCTTCTCTTCACTGACATCTGCAGCATCCTGCACCGGTGGAGCAATGGATGGTGGAGAGGACTTGTCTCCAGATCGCCTGGAAAAATCTCCGGTCAAACACCAAACAGCAGCCACAGTTCAGCTCCCATCCCACCCCTGGAAGTCACCAGGAGCTCAGAGTCAGCCAAGGCAAGAACATTCCACAGAAAGAGAAAAGCCTGTGCTCTTAGAACAGTTCTATTTCAAATCAGGGCCCACAAAAGTTCCATGCCTCAGTTTCCTCATCTCTGAAATGGGGAAAACAATTCTTACTTCCTCTCCAATCCAAAGGAATAACTATTAATAGATATCCTGACACCAAGAAAAAGCAGTTAAAAATAAACCTCTATGTTGGGCATGAGAGCCTATGCCTATAATCCCAGCATTCATGAGGCTAAGGCAGGAAAACTGATGTTTGAGGCCAGGTTGCGCTTCATAGATGAGTTCAAGGCCAGCCTGAACTACACAGCGAGACTCTGTCTCAAAAACAAAACAAAAAACAAAAACAAACCCCTAAAAGCACTCCCTTTGTATGAGTGAAAAATAATAAAGCACTTTGAATTATACAACAAAAAAACAGCAAATGTAAAATCAGATGTGGTGGTGCACACCCATAATCCCAGCACTCTGGGAGGAAGTGGGGCAGGAAGATCACAAATGCAAACCCAGCCTGGTCAACTTAGAGACTCAACAAGACCTTATCTCAGGATAAAAAGTTTAAAGTGGGTTAAGGACACAGAAGGCTCTTGGTTCAATCCACAGTACTTAAAAAAAAAAAGATTGCAAATACATTCTCAAACTCCTGTGTTAAGTCAAATGCAATCTAATTTGTAGGGCTGAGATTACTGTGGTTTATTCCTAAACCTTAGGAAAGCAGGATTAAAAAATGATGCCGCGTAGCAGAGAATGCTGAGGTAAAAGCCTTTATCTTAGCCTACATTATGTAAATCAAACCAAGCTTTAATTGGAAGCTGCAGAAAGGCTTATTAGGATTGGTAACCCTGAGAGAGAAGTGTGTGTCTGTTCAGGCTACTCCGACAGCTGTACCACAGAACTGTAAAAGCAGGGTCGGAGGGTGAGGCAGCTGCTGACACACACAGCACAGGACATGACCATGACTGCCGTACCTGACAGAACTAAAACACACGAGCTAGGAGAGCTCAGTCACCTGCTCTTCGACACTGCTCAAAGCAGGCTGAGGCTTCACCTCACGCAAAAAGTGAGTTTACGCTGGAGGGCCACAACACTGACCCGCTGACCAGTACCCTGTTACCACTTCAATAAAATGCCAAGGGAATGACCTGAAATCGAACTGCAAGGTGGCTCCGAAAAGCAAATGTTATGGTCAGGATGTGTGAATCTCCATGAGACCTGAATGCCATGAAAGTAATCAGTCACCCTGGGCTTTGAGGGTCTGTCTTGCTTTGCTGTAGCTTCAGAAGGACCTGGCACGGGGCTGTGGGATTCCTCCAAGTGTGTGGCAGGAAAAGCCTGACTGCGCAGAGTTATTTAAAAATGAGTTACACTAACCCCAAAGGTCGTCCAGGTCTAGAATTCTAACACTCACCTAGAAAAGCATCAAAGTTCTTGCTAATTTCTTGCCTGAACTGGAAAAAAATATAGTTTTCCCACATTTGGCAAAGAAACAAAGTCCAATAAACAAATTGCCTAAGGCTGTGGCTGGAAACAAACCTGCCCTCTGGGATCTCAGGGCTGTGCACTCCCACCCAGCCCAGCTCCCGAACACAGAAGAAACACTGTACCCACCACAGGTGGTCCTGGTAAGTGTGGAGCACTGAGAAGCCCCTTCCCTTCAGGCCGGCGGCCAGCATCTCAGCGGTGGACAGGACAGCCACTCCGATTGCTATGGGCGCTCTAGGAAGAAGCAGGCCAGAGCCCAGGCTGAGGGGCAGCCCTGGAGAGGGCAAGCATTCAGACTATCAATGTGCCCTCCCACTGGTGCCAGCCCTTGGTCACAAAGCTAAGCTCCGCCCAGCCTCAGTTCTTCTCGGTGACCTATAAATATTCCAATTTTCAAACACCCCTTGGCCAAATCTTCCCCTCCTAGTATGCCCCTGCTGACATAATTATAGTGTTTGTTTTATTCCTATTAATAATTTAAGCCAGGCACAAGGATAATAAAATTTCCCTCCTTTTAACTTCAAAACTATTAAGAAATCATAGCCATCACTTTAATAAGGAAGTTCAGGGGGAGGCGACTTTCATGCCACAAATCAGGCTAGGACTGGGGAGCAGCTCAGTGGCACAGCAATTGCCTGGCAAGCACTAGGCCCTGAGTTTGAGTCCCAGTACCAAAAAAAAAAAAAAAAAACAAAAAAAACCTCAATCAATCAATCAATCAATCAGGCTCAAAGAGGCATAAGAAAGAGAACTGCTGTTGCTTGGCTCTCCAAAGTCAAGGAGAAATCTCTGTCACCTACTGTTTCTCAGGTATTGACCACACACTGCCAGTGAGGTAACAGGCAAAATTCACTATCCTGGCAAGGTAGCATGAGTCCAAGGGAGAAGATTCAAGAGCTCCCAACACCGACACAAACTTAAAACTTGTTTTACTGAAGTGCTGGCTCCACTCACTGGATCTATAACAAGGTCAGTTCCTGTGACAGAACTTTGAATTTCGTTTCTTTCCTAACTATTAAGAGACATTGTTTTCCTCTGTCCCCAAAAAAGGTGAATGGCTCGGGATCTCCAGTATTTTGTTGTTGTTGTTTTTTGGTACCAGGGGACAAACTCACAACCTCGTACTTGCCAAGCAGGCCCTTATGCCACTGAGCTAAACCCCCGACCTTGGATCTCCAGTCTTGAACGTGACTTGTATTTTTAACAGACCGATTTGTTCACCCACCCCCACCACAAACTATCGCCAACGCCCATCTTTACATACCTCCTACAACTACAGTGTGTGAGCCAAACAGCCATTAATGTAATGAGAATAGTAGTGGAAACTAGGGAGTGGAGAGGGAGTAAGGAAGAAAAAAGAAAAAATGAGACAAGAAAAATAAAATGGAAACAGTTTGGTAAACAAGGCGGGGAAGACAGCTTGAAAGGAAGGAAGGTGAATACGAAAACAAGAGGAATCAAGATATATCATGTATACGCACAAATCTCCTTTGATGAATGTGATCATTAAGTGTATCTAAATTATACCAATAAACTTAGTAAAAAGCAGGCATATATAGAAAAAAGGACAGTAGAGGGAAAATTAATGACCTACCATTCTTTTCAACTTGATTTCTGCTATAGGAAAACAAGAAAGGAATCTAAGTGTGTGGTTGCAAAAAGTTCAAGGCAGATTAATAGCAAAAATAAGATCTTTACATTGGACTTGCTGGCACAGGTCTGTTATCTCAGTCCTCTGGAGGCCAAGTCAAGGGATCATAAATTCAGGCCCAGCCTGGGCAACTTAGTGACTTAACAAGACACTATCTCAAAATAAAAATAAAAAAGGGCTGGGGATTTAGCTCAGTGCTGCACTCAGTAGTTCAACCTTGGGTTTGATTCCTAGTACCACCAAAAACAAAGACAAAAAAAAACTTTAAACGCAGACCCCTGTCATGCCTGTACTCTGTCCTCTCTCAAAGAAGCAATGAAATAACGAAATGCAATCCTTCATCCATTAGAATGGTACAAATGAAAACAACACAGTGCTGGTGTGAGTAAGTTATATATGCTACAAGTAGGAGTAAACACTGATACTTTTTAAAAGGGAAACAGTACTGTTTTTTTAAAATTTACAGTAGAAAAATATTGGCACTGGTATTTCTAGAGTCATCAAGAAAATACTGATTGTAATAAACACAAATCATAGGCAATGTCACTATATACCAGGATAAGATCTTATGCATCACCACACATCAGGGGAAAAGATTTGGCAGTATGTGTGCCAGCAGTATGGACCACATCCATGCTATATTAAGGGAAAAACAGTATATACATGGTGTAATTTGTTTGCACTTTTAAATATACATACCCCAAATTACATATCTTTATCCACATGCCTACAAGCATTGAGGAAAAAGAGGTAGACACATATCAAAATAACAGTTTCTTTAAAAAGGGGACTATGGGGCAAAGGGTCTTTAATTTTCAGAACTGTTCATAAAATTACTTCCTAATTTATGTTTAAAAAGCAGCGCATGGGCCAGGGATTTAGCTCAGCAGCATAAGCGCCTGCCTGACAAACAAGCACAAGGTTGAGTTTGATCCCCAGTCCAAAAATAAAATAAAATAAAGCAGTAGAGGTAATGGTTGAATAACTGTGTGACTACACTAAAAATCATTCCACTGCACATGTAAATCAGGTAAATTCTATGGTATGTAAACTGTATCTCCATAAAGGTGTTAAAAGTAATTAGAAGGCGGGGATGATACGGTGGATGATGGGGGGAAAAGTATAAAGGGGCTAAAAGACAAGGTAAGACCAAAAGAATGTCACAAAGGGAAGCTAGAAGACATGACAGCTAAATGCAATGTGCTATCATAGACTAGGTCCTTGCATGGAATAAAGGAAAACTGGGAATGTATGAATAAAGTCAGCAGTGAGGTTAACAATAGCGCGTCAGCACTCATCCCTTAGTTGTGAGAACACCACAGCTATGTGAGAAGTTACTGTTAGAGTGCTGGGTAAAGAGCATCTCGGAGCACTATTATCTTTGTTACTCTTCTGTAAAGCTCAAAAAAAAAAATTTTTTTTTTTTTTTTTGGCAGCACTGGGGATTGAACCCATGGCCTTTCAGACTGAGCTACATCCCCACCCTCTTTTAAAGTTGTGAGACAGGGTTTTGCTAAATTCCTAAACTGCCTGGGCTAGATTTGAATATTCGATCCTTCTGCCTCAGCCTCCAGGATTTGGATTATACACATGTCCCATCATGCCATGCTTAAAAATATTTAAGTTTTCTGAAAAGCAGCAACCAGCTGGATGCCACAGCACACACTGGTAGTCTCAGGACTCGGGAGACTGATGCAGATGATTAGCTCAAGGCTAGCCTGGACTATACAGCAAGTTCCAGCTTGGCCTGGACTACACAGTGAGACAAAAAAGAAAAAAGCAGCTGCCACAATATCCTCCATCTAGACACAGACACTCCACAAGGTCACTGCCTTCCCCATATCCTACTCTCTGCTTCTTCCAGAACGGCCTGTGTTTTCTCTCAATATTTTGTCCATGTGCTTTGGAAGTTGCCATTTCCCTCTGCCTCCCTTTTACCTATATTTCTCCCCCAAAGGCACCACTGCCTGTCACAGTACCTGTTCCCCACCAAGGCAATGGCACAGAGGTCGCCCTTCTGTACCTGAGGCAAACCAGCAGGGGGCACCATTAGTCCTGGCAGCATCAAATCTGCAGCAAACAAAAGCATCACAACTTTCTTCAACCATCTTATTCCACCTTTTATTTTGTCATTTATTCATTCACTTGACCAAGAAACATTGATTAGGAATCAGTTATACTATTCACAATGAAAATTTTAAATAGCAACTTGAATGTCAGCTCTCCTTTTTGGGGTCTAGCGGTTAAATAAAAGCACCAGGCTGAGTGTCTTCTATCATGATTTATCTTGTGCTGGCTTCCTAAATTCAGGTTTGTGATTTAAAGCACAGTTGATGTCAGTACTTTCACATAATTTATCTCATATAAGGTTTACAACAGCTTCAGAAAAGCCCAAAGAATTCATAGAACCAGCCGACTGAGAAGGGTAACACACACATGGGAAAAATTCCATTGTTGATCATACGAACACAGGAAACAGGCAAACTTTTTAATCAGTTGGCCTTTGTTGAGTAGATGTCAGGTAATAGTTAGAATATAGGAAAATCCACTTACCTGCACCTCCTACCAGTTTTTCGAGGACCAAAGGCCATGTTGTGAAGGTTGGCAGAAGATCTGGATAGGACCATAGTGTGTACACTGTACAAAGAGATACAGAAAACACCACCAAAACGTCAATCTGCCAGAGAACTGCCAAAACCTAACTTGGTCACTTTAATTAGAATACAGGAAACAAACTCAACTCAAGGTCAGAAAAAGGGTTAGGGATTTAGCTTGGTAATGGAGCACGTGTTTATCACGCTTTGGGCCCTGAGTTCAAATCCCCTGTGCGGGGGCAGGGGCAGCTGTCAAAGCTGAAGAGAAGGCTGGGAGGGAATGCCCAAAGAGGTTCCTTTATGAAGAAAGCAAAGACTCAAGGAATTGTGTCACTTGAGATTTGAAGGTACCTATCACTCTACCTGGATAGCAGCAGAAATAAATGACCACAGAGGTTTAAAGTAGGAGGAGAAAACCAACAACACTTTCATTTATAACCTCAAAATCAAGTGACATAAGAGCAGGGAGTCAGTGTGTAGGGAATTTTGAAACTTTCTCATGTTTATCACTTTATTTCCCATCTCCATAGTGATGAGCGGTAAAAGCCTTAGTTCAAAAAGGGTCTGGCAAAGCAGAGAAGCAGGGAAAGAGGAGTGGCCTAAGGAGACTGGACTCGACTAGTGTTGCCAACCTTGAAGAAAAAGTCCCATGAAACAAAGCGGGTATCAGTAGCTATGGCAAAAGGGAAAGAAGGTTGAGTCCTTGAAATCTGAGACAAAGAGAGAAAACAAAATTCTAGAGAAACAGGCAGAGCCAAAGCATAAATCTCTGAGAGACATCCTAATTGAAGATATCAGGAAGACAGGTAGATAGCTTAATTAATCTAGCTGCTCCTCTAACACACTACTTCTCAGTGTTTTAAGAAAATCTTATTACAGGGAGTTTTAAGGAATCTATTTTACATACTCTGAAATTCCATCTTTTGCAAGACCTCTGCTCTATCTCTGTAATCCACTGTAAACTCTTCTTTCTCAGTACTTCCCTTTGTAAACATCCCTGTGTACGCGACAGTGTGTGTGTGTCTCCTATAGCAGTTTCTGGATTTGGAAGACCTAACTACAGAAATGCTAGGCTTGCCAACATTCTAAGGGATAGATTTGGGAGATCTATGGGAGGCCAGCTAATGAAAAAACAGAAAGAAGCAGTATTAGGCAAGGACTGTAGCTGCAGCGGCTGGACTGTGTTATTATACCTGTAGGATACAGATTTTTCTCCAGTTCAAACAGGATAGGATTGCCACCACTGGTGTATACTGTCACAGTGTCCCCTTTGTGAGTGTACAACTTCACGACATTGAGCTCTTCTTTTCCAGGTATTAACTCAGAGACCTGATCTGTCCCAAGGGTGGCAAAAGCAGCTGTCACATCAGCTCGAAGCTTTCTCCTGCAGAGAGCATACCAGCATCATGAATACTATTCAACAGATTTTAATAAATATAGAGAATCTGGAAGGACCCATTTATAAATGCCATGGAAAGACTTCCTGGTTTCTGATGCCCTGTTCTCATAAACTGTTCCAAAATCCTATTCTCTTTCTCATCTTTTGTCTCCTCTATCTTTACACGTTCCTGTCTTTCCATTTTGTGGGTAGGAAAACAAAGGTTCAGAAAGCAAAGTCTGCCTGACAGAGGATACCCAATCCTACCTTCTTGACTTCATGCTTAGCACTCAGGCCCACTCCTTTCTCAAATGTTTGGCAAATTTGTTGGTTTATGATTAAATGGCTATATCATAGCACCAAGTATGTCACATATAGAACACTGGTTTCAAAATCCCCAACAACATACTGTTTCTGTATTTAAGGCTCTGATGAGACAGTCTCCTTATAGTTCTTCCCTATTTCCTCCCACCTCATACTCCAGCGGATTCTCCTAACACAAGGAATCATTAGGCACTTTTTTCTCCTAATTTTTTAGTTCTCAATGCCCTTATTCGATCTCTGTGGCGGGCGGGGACCTTGTATTCCTTCATTTTTACACCTTCCGCGACACCTTAACAGCCTTAACAGGTCAGTAAAAGTGGGTTGAATTACATTTCTTGTAATTTCATCAGAATAGTCAGCAGGCAGCCTGGAAGACAACTCACCCTCTCCCCTTGCCCGCCGAGTCCCTCCCTCGCTGTACCCGTCGGCCTGGCCCCGGGTCTGCTGCGCTGCCCACCCAGACTGTGGGTCATCCGGGTCGGGAAGGCATCCCGGGCCTCGTGGGGCGCAGCAAGTGCCTGCTCCCCCTCACCTGTCCGACCCCTTGATGGCCGTGTTGGACCTGACCCGAAAGGCCTTGGCGAACATGTCTGCCGAGCCAACGAGGAGGAGACCCGGCGCACACAGAAGCGAGGCACTGTCAGGAACGCGAAGGCGTGGAAGTTCCTGAGCCCGCAGCGCCGGAGGCCGCCATGTTGGGGAGCCCGGCCGCCAATAGGCGCCGGCTGGAAACGCAGGGTGCGCAGCTTTTCGGCCGTGGCCACCGTACGTCGCGGCAGCCCCTAGTGGCGAGATAGCGCACTGCAACAGGGCCCGCGGCGCGGGTGGGAGTGGGGCGTCCCTTCCCCGGCAATCACCCAGGGTCGGCTCTGGGCCCGTAGATGTGCAGGACTCAGCCCGTAGCGATATCAGTTTAATTACTGCCCTTCCACTCCCTCAGCTCTGCCAGCTCCCACTCCACCCACATTGTTCTCATTCCACAAAAGGAGTTGAATTAAAAAAAAATTTTTTTGTCTTTTTCTTTTTTATCGGTACCAGGGATCAAACTCACGACCACACACTTGCAAGGCAGGTGACACTAAATTTTATTAAATCTGTAGGCCTTGTGAATGTCTCCCACCGCAGTAATGGGGATTGAACCAGAGCCTTCCAATGGAGCTACATCCCCACCCACCTACCCCCTTTTTTTAGTTTTGATTTTGAGACAATCTGGCTAAATTGGTTCGTTGCCTAGGGGGAACTTGAATTTTGGATCCTCCTGTCTCAGCCCCCCAAAGTCTAGGCATGGCTTCTCCTGCCAGGTTGTGAATATTTTTCTTGAAATGTTCACTTATTCAGATCTTTCCATTGCATTGCAAGTTAGCCACCTCAGCTAGGATGGTCTCCATGATTTTTTTCTTTCTTTAACCTAGAGTGTTAGACAGCAACAAAGGATCTACTTTCATCCCAAGGTTGCCACAGAAGTCATGCAAGCAGGGTAAAGAGATTTGGTTTCCCAGAGAGGAGCAGCTATGTAAATGGGAGGCAAGTATTTAAACATATGTGATTTGGCTGCTACTAAATTAAGGTTTGCATTTTAAAACTTCAGGCTAATTGTTTATTCACTGATGAAAAATACTAAGTACTTAATTTATTGACACAGTTGCACAAAGGGGACTTCACACTGGCTGGAAAAGTGTCTGTCCCTACCTACCTCGTGTGGCCTGGTATCAGCCTCAGCTCCTAAACTTGGTCCCACCATGTGGCTGCATGGCCCAAGGTAGAGACACTAACGTAGGACCCTGGCCACAGGCCCCCACTCCTCCATACCCCCCCCCACTTGCCCGTACTAGGTGTGTGTGTGATGCACTTAGGGCTATTGCATCCTGTTCAGAAGCCAAAGAATGTTATTTAGGAGAATATAAAAATTTCAATCCAGGAAAGTATTATATACTACACATCCTGTGTAAAGGGTCAGTTATGAGGCTCATAGTGAATAATTGACAAATAGGAGCCCAAACTCAGGGGATTCGGCACCAGGAATCCAGCCTCCCCCTTAAAAGACCCAGAGCTCCTTTCTGCAGCTGGGCGCCAGTTACATCTTCCCCCTCTGAGCTGCTGACCTGGCAACCGTCTATGCTAGGCAAAGTGGACTCTGAAGTTTCGTAGCCTTCCCTTTGCAATAGCAGTGCCACCTCTCAGGGCTCCCAACCTATTTCCCATTCTGGACTACAGAGGCACAGTATAGCTCAGGACAACTATGTCAGGATGGTGGGGAGAGAAAGTCCTGTCCACTACTTACATGGCATGGACACGGCTATAAGGTCGATTCCTTACTCAAGAAAGGAATATTCTGAAGCAAGGATAGATCAGAAAATGTATTTCCTTTTCTCTAGCCTTTCTTTCCTTTCTTTCCTAGTGAATCCTAAGGAGGAGAATTCAACTTATTTAACCCAGTGACCCTGACTGGGAACTCACTGGTCAGATGTGATTGTTAATCATGATTGTGTCAGTTGGAATGGATTAAGAAACACCTATCAGATTAGTGAAGCACAGTTTCTGGTTGTTTTTGTAGCTTGGCATAACTGACGCCATCCTGAGCCCTGCATTTGACTAGTGCCTGTATTTGATCCAGGAAAGTGGAAAATTATTCAGTATAAGTCCCATGAGAAAAGCAGAATGAGCTGTACCCACAGGAAAAAAATTAACCTGCTCAACAAAAGAAGCAGGATACAGGTGTCAACCAAAAACTAATGTAAGATTCTAGCTAAATTGTTTCCAATAGGATGTCTTTTTGTGATTCTGTCTCTTAAAAGCTCTGTAACTTTCCAGTTCGGGGCCACTTGTTTGGACTCTCAAATGGGGGGAGGGGATGGTCCTGTATACAAGTGGTCCGGAGTTCAGTTCATTAAATTTCAAATTTATCAATTTGGCTGCTTGGATTCCTACATTGTTCACAAACCCACTTCAGCTTTCTAATGAGACTCACACTGGTGAAGAAAAACTGGAAAGCACTTGAATTACCCAAGTCAGGAACCCCCTGGAGCTCCAGAACCCTCAAAGATCTCACCTGCCCTTGACCATGGGAGCAGCAGGTGGAAGTTAAATGAGGCCTCAGTATTTCCCACTTTTGAGGCCAGAACTGGGAGCAGGAATGCTTCCGCTTCTGGAAACTGTGTCTTCAACACAGACTGGAGCTGCAGTGACTCAGAAGCAAGCAGAAAAACTTGTGGGGGCAAGTTTCATTCAACTCTGGCATAATAAAGAGCCGTCCACGGAAATGCTAAGAGCAAGTATTATTACTAGAATTTTGCAATCTTAGGGCTGGAAGAGACTTTCACAAGAATCTAGTTCAAACTTTTTGTTGCCATGGAACTCTTTTCTTCAAACAAAAGCTTTAAAGAGCTCCCAGTACAAATGCCTATAGAAGCAAGATTGCTCTGGTTTGCCAGGGAAGGTAAGGGAAAGGAACAAAGAAAAGGCTGATTTGTAAAATCAGAAAAATATAAAAGGCCATCTGGAAGAAAATCTTTTTTATTAATGTTCATATCATAAAGACACTAAAGTAATATTGATCACAAAAAATAAAGTTCACCCAAATGGACTGAATGTTAACTTATAGCGTAGATCTTATAGATGGTTAAGTGTTTAGGGACATTTTCACTTGGAGACAGAGAACATGACTTTTAGTCACATGGAAATGAGCCTTGGGTGGAAAATTTAAGGTTTATGGGACTGTGACATGCGGCTTGAAGACAAGTTCCCAAATTCCACCAGAGGGCGCCCGCATCAGGCGTTTTGAGGTTTGGTTTCTGGCGGGTCAGGCGGCCTCGCACTTTGTGAATTCAGGAAATCCAACTGTGCGCCAACACGTGAGAGAATACACTACTCTAGAATAACCTCCTTCCCTCTCAGTTTCCTTCCAACAGTCAAAGTCTGATTTCCTCGGTTCTACTGAGAAATCTACACCTTTTAGGAAGGAGGGGAAAAGCGCCTTCAAAACATATTCTAACAGAAATAAATAAAGCAGAGCCTTCCGGGGGCAGCTGGAAGCCTGTGCTTCTGAAGCTTCTTGTCCGGACTTCGCCACTAAGTGACTCTAAGGAAGCATGACTTCTCAGGCGTCAGTTTCCCCCTGTGTACGAGAGTTCTTTGTGCGCGACCATCGCTGCACGCTGTCACAGGAGAATTAAACAAAACCTGGCTTCCATACTGGATGCCAGATAAATCAGTAAAAGAGGGACGTCTCCTGGTGTAGCGAGGTTGCGCCTCTGCCTCCGGAGCGCGCCCTGCCCAGCGTCGGTGAGAAAGTCGAATGTTCAGGCGGGACGTTTAGAACTCCGGGCTGCCACGTGCAATTTAACAGCAGCCTGGGAGGACGGGCAACACTTCTGGAGCTTTCACCAAACCTCCGCCCAGGATCGTCCTTCTTCGACCCCAATCAGCTCTGAGGTCCCTTAACCGCTTTGGGGACCCCCGCGGCCCCGCCTCCCGCCCGCGGCCCCGCCTCCCGCCCGCGGCCCCGCCTCCCGCCCGCGGCCCCGCCTCCCGCCCGCGGCCCCGCCTCCCGCCCGCGGCCCCGCCTCCCGCCCGCGGCCCCGCCCCCTCGCGTAAGTGCGTAGTTGCGCAAGGGCGTTTCCCGGGGCGTGCCGCGGTTGCTAGGCGACTAGGCCGCTCCCCCGCCCCCCCAGCTCTGTCTACCTAGTCCCGCGGCCGGACGGAGCGAAGGCACGCGGAGCTGCAGAGTGTGGCGGAGAGTCCCGGGGAAGCGTCGTGCCCGGGAGGCAGCGGTCCCAGCGCAGGTGGGCGCGGCCCGCCAGACCCTGCAACCGCCGCTCTTGCCCCCGCGGGGGTCCTCGAACTAGCGATGGGGGGCACGGCTCACGGGCCGGGACGGAAGGATGCGGGGCCGCCCGGGGCTGGGCTCCCGCCCCAGCAGCGGAGGTAACGGCGCCCGGGGTAACGGGCTGGGAGCGCCCGAGGGAACGCCTGGCGCTGGCCCGCGAGGCCAGGGTGCGGGGAAGCCTGGGCTGGAGACTGGGGGAGCCCCTCACCGGACGGACGGCACCCCCATCACGTCCTCTCCCCTCCCCAGGCCAATGTGAGCCTCCAAGATCTCCGAAGCTCTAGATCGGGATGCATGGCCAGGGACTTCGCACACACAGGACTTTCTGTGTGGCTTTTTAGCAGACCTGGGGAGCCAGGAGGACTGGCTTTGAAATAATCCCTGTTGCTCGGAGCGCTTAACCACGACTGAACTCTTGGGGGCTTTGCCGTGAAGGGTGCGGTCTGGCTTTGAGTATGCAGGTGAGGGGCAGTGCTGGGCAGGGCGTCTGCGGATCCCATTTTGAGAGATCCTCCCCCCTCCCCACATATACCTTGCATTGTAGTTGCTGCCTAAATGCAGACCCCACCCCCACCCGTTTGCGCGGAGCCTTCCCATGGTTAATTTCTTCCGTTAATCTTGCAGGTTTTTATTTCTGTAAATGTGGATGTCTGTCCTTGTTTGTTTTATCAGGCCATGGCAAAGGGTATGCCACATTCCGAATATTTGGTTTTTGTCACTGGAGTATTTCGCTGTTAAAGGTAGAAATAATTCTATCAGAATGTGAGCTTGCTTTTAAAAGAGAACCTTACAAAAAACATTTGTGCTTTTTAAAAAATACCTTCTGCATTCCTTTAATATGTTAATCAGACAAACTCTAGAACTAATTTTACAAACAGTTTTTAAAGGCAATGAGAAAAAAAATTTTT